CCCCCCGGCGGCCGCCCCCTGCCTGCGGCACCCCCCGGGCCCTCGCCCCCGATAGAGCGCCCTGCTGCGCGGCCGGGGCCGGGGCCGGGCAGGGCGCGGGGGCCCCCGCCCGTCGGGCGGCCCCTCTGCGCCCCTCCCCGCTTCCCTCCCGCCGGTAGCCCCAAACCCCGCTCCGCGGCTGCACCAAAACCAGGGAAAACACCCGTTTTCAGCCCGCCGGCGACCTCAGGACGGAGGTGGGCTGCTGCCCCGCAAAGTCCTGGGAGTTGGGATGTGGCGGGGATGGCCCCTTGGCACCCGCTTTGCCAGGGCATCCCTCCTGCTTCCCTTCCCACCCTCCCTCCGTGAGCCAAGGCTCCAAGGACGGGGAGCATCCCCCTTCCCAGCCCGGGCAGCCGGAGCCGGGCTGGGGGCAGAAGCCGGGCTGGCAGCGGGGAAGCGCAGGCAGGAATAAAGTCCCCACCCAGGCACCCGCCGGTCCCTTTGTCCCTGCCCTTGGAATTATCTGGGAGCAAAGTTAGCGGCCCCGCAGCCAAGGAGATTAGGCCGGAGTCCGTGTCCGTGCGGGGGCTGCGGGAGCTGGCTTCCCCCCAGCCCGCGCTGCTCGTCCCCCTCCTGGGCTGGGGGACAAGGCTGGCCCCGGCTTTGGGGCTCCGGCCACGGGATCCGCGAGGTTTTTTTGCGGCAGGGGCGATGCGGGGGGGGGAGGGGGGGAGACCTCGATCCCAGCCCCGCGCTGCCGCAGGAGGAGCCTTGACAGGTTTGTGAAAAGCCCCCGGCTGGGACAAAAGGCTCACAGAAATGTCACTCCCCATCTGGAGCGGGGCGATGAGGTGCCTCATTATTCCCCTGGTTCGCTCCGACGCTGGGGCAGGAGGGGCCTTTTGGGGTCTGCTCTGCCTGCGGTGCCGACGGGGACAGCCGTCCTCTCTGAGAGCCGGTGAGTGCTCCTGGCCGTCGCATCCCCGGGGGGAGCTGGAGCCAGGGAGAAGCCATCTCTGGCCCCCACTCACCCCAGTTTCCCCCAAACCAGACTGGGCTGAGTTTCGGATGGGGCTGGAGACAGCCCTGGCCCTTCGAGTCCTTCCTGGAGCAGCCGGCATTGGCCTTGGGGTCCAGCCAGCGGAGCTGAGGGGAACCGGGACTGAAGCTGGGGCCCCCAGATGCTCCTTCCCGGGCGATCCTGGACAGCCCCTGCTCACAGAGTCCCCACCGGCCTCTTTCACCTCCTTTGGCCTCAAAATTGAGCCCTGAGGCAGAGCATGCCAGGCAGGCAGGGCCCCTGGGGACGAGCGGGCTGGCAGAGAGCAGGCAGGAGTGCTGGCATCAGGGCAGCACCGGGCATCCCCGGGATGGGTGCCCGAGGCTGCATTAGCACCCACAGGGCGAACCCCAGAGCCTGGCGGGATGCTCAGGGTTGTGCCCCAGCCACGGGGAGCTCCATGGGGCCCCTCCAGCATCCCTGGAGGTGTCCCCATGGCCGACGGCATCTGGCTCGTCTCAAGCCGGAGGAGCCCGGCCAGCGGCATCGCTGCGGCGAGAGGGGGGCCGTGGCCCTGCGCCCACGCGGCGGGGGACGAGCAGGCAGGGCGCTGGCAGGACAGCCTGCCTCCTGTCCCGTGGATAAGTGGTGCGGAGCAGGGGCTGACGGTTTGTTGTGTCTGCTGCCGGCCCAAGGTTTTTCCCAGGCCCTGGACGCACCCGCCATGACGCGCAGCTGGGACCCTGCTGCAGCGGCACCGCAGCGGGCACAGAGCCCCGGCGCGGCCACGGCCTGGGGGGTGGATGCTCGCGGGGCCCCGGCACGTGTGCGTATGCATGTGGCTCTTGGCATGCACACGGTCTGGCAGGGGAGGCAGGAAAGGGAGAAGCCCAGCAGCGAGCGAGGGGTTAAGGAGCGGCGCCAAGCTGGGGCTCTGTTTAGTCTGGCCCCCGCGCCAGCGATGGGACAGGCAGCGCGGAGCACGCGTCCATCACCCCCGCCCAGAGCGAGCGCTTGCACGCACGCAGGCACCCTTGCACGCTGCGCGCACGCAGGCGCGCTCCCTGCCAGGCCATTGGTGTGACACGGCCGGTGTCCCCACACCCGTGCATGCTGCCAAGCGTGACGCTGTGGCCCAGCTCTGGCTCTGCTGCCATCGGAGCCAGGGACCGTGGGGAGCTGGGGACACCCTGAGTGTCCCAGCACTGCTGTAACCCCTGTGCCTCTTCCAACCCTGGACAGGGACCGCGGAACCCAGGCGTCCTGGCTGGGCCCCTGCTTTGAGGTGACACACGGCTTTGTCCCACGTCCTCCTCGCCTGCCACGGGCTGTTTCGGGGGGCTGCTGCGTCCCCGGTGCCACGCAGGGGCCGCGTGTCCCTCTTGCCAGCACCGACCACCCTGTGTCTGCCCCATGGGCGCCAGCGCCCCGTGCGGTGCTTAACTCCCGGCTCGGTGGCCACAGCGGCCGTGCAGGCGAGGGCAGGGGGGACAGCAGGTCCCCTGCCGCGGGGTGACAGGCAGGGCCGTGCCGTGCCGTGCCTTGCAGGGGAGCAGCGCCATGTCCCTCGGCGCGCCCACGAGCAGCGACGCCTGCCTGAGCATCGTGCACAGCCTGATGTGCCACCGGCAGGGCGGGGAGAACGAGACCTTCGCCAAGCGGGCCATCGAGAGCCTGGTCAAGAAGCTCAAGGAGAAAAAGGACGAGCTCGACTCGCTCATCGCCGCCATCACCACCAACGGCGCCCACCCCAGCAAGTGCGTCACCATCCAGCGCACCTTGGACGGGCGGCTCCAGGTAACCCCACCGTGCCGGCCTGACAGCCCCCCGTGTGCCCCATGGCTGGGGGGACCCGGTGTTGGGGTGCCCCATGACCCCCAAGACCCCACGAGCTGGGGGGGACCCAGGTGCCCCATGATGCCCCATGCAAGCCCTCCCTAACCTTAGGGGACCTGGGTGTCGGGATGCCCCAAGATCCCCAAGCCTTCCCTGAGCTGGGGGGACCCAGGCATCCTGGCGCCCCGAGACCCCCCCAGCCCTCCCCGAGCTGGGAGGACCCAGGAATCCGGGCAGCAAGGGGTCCAGTGGAGGGCCCCCCCCCAAGGAGGGGCGCACAGGGGGACCCCCGCCGTGTCGAGCCTGCGGCTCCGGGATGGGAGCCACGCTGACTTCAGTGTCTGGGCTCGCGCCTACCCGCCCGCAGCTGCGGCATCTGGGGATGGGGGGGGACAGGGACAGGGAGAGGTCCCCCACCTTTCGGGGCAGATGCGTTCAGGCAGGGGCAGCTGCAGGCAGTGTTGCCCCCTGCCCGCGGTTTCCCCCTGCCCGCGCTGGCATCCCCCGGCGACTCTGCCCCCCTTCCCGGGATGAGTCACTGTCTGGCAGCCTGCGAGCCGGGCTGGGGGGGCCAGCGGGGGGGTTGTTATGTCTGGAGCCAGGGAGGCGCAGGGGGAGCCCCCCGGGGTCCGGTCGCCGGGGGGGTCCGGCACCGGGCATGCGGTTTGTAGCACGGTGCAACCGGGCTGGATGCAGTCAGCCGAGGTGGGGGACGATGGGGGGGACCATCCCCACGCCCCCGCCTCGTCACCCCGGTGTCCCCGTCCTGTGCCCCCCTCCCCGCAGGTGGCCGGCAGGAAGGGGTTCCCCCACGTCATCTACGCCCGGCTCTGGCGCTGGCCCGACCTACACAAAAACGAGCTGAAACACGTCAAATTCTGCCAATTCGCCTTCGACCTCAAGTACGACAGCGTCTGCGTCAACCCCTACCACTACGAGCGCGTGGTGGCCCCCGCCATCGGTGAGCCAGTCCCAGCGCCACCGCCGGGACCCCCGGGAGGGGGGGGGCCGCCCTGCGCCCACCACC